ATATTTTTAGACATACTTCAGGGACTGGGGATATATCTCAGTGGCATAAGTACCTGCATGGTAAGTGCAAAGTCCTGAATTCAATCCCTGGTACAGAAAAAAATAAAAAATGAAAAAAAGGAAGGATAAACTTCAAGATGAAATAACTTCAAAGTATAATAAGATAATAAGAAAATTATTATTATTAATTTAAATGTAAGTCATCAAAACCAAATTAAAATTCGATATCTTTTTTATCACATTGATGTGGTTTTAAACTTTTAATATGGCAATGAAGTTTTTGTGTTCCTGGAAATACAAATTATTAAAATCATCATGAGATTATATTGTCAAAATATATAAAACACATTAAAATATAGAATATATTTTGATAAATTTAATCATAATATTATATAATAAATACCATTTTCTTCAAAAACAATACATTATGTGCAAAATTATTCTGTGAGGATTGTTAGTATGATATTAACTATAATCTTAAAGACTGAATAAAAGACAATTGTCATTAAGCACAGAACATTCAAATTTGATGGAATACTCGCTGCAGGCCCCACACCCAGGGGGCGCTGAGAGGGTGAATGAGACTGGGCGTTGTGGCACACACCTCAGTCCTTGGGAGGCTGAAAACAGGAGGATCACTACAAGTCTGATCGGTGTAGTAAGACCCTGTACTAAATACATTTTTTAAAAAAATGATGGCAGGGGGCTGAGGAGATGGCCCAGTGGAATAAGTGCTTCCCTGGCAAGTGCAAAGGCCTGAGTTCAATCCCCGGTTCTGCCAAAAAAAATGATGGCATATTGAGTTGTCACTAAAAATGTCAAATATATTACAGCCCAGCCATGTTAGCACCATGTCCAAGACCCAGAATTAGGCTATAAAAATGACTCAAAATGTATTACTTATTTGAATATTTGTCTTTTCATGTTGTACATGTGTATTTTTCTGAATATTGGAACTACAAGTGATTTTCTCTTCTCAGGCTTGTATGGGTCTATAGTTTCCAAATTCTCCATTAGGAAAAGCATATTGTAACCTTTGACTAGATCCTTTATCATCTG